ACAACATGAATTGTGAAAGTTCAAGACCTCTGGCATACTCTGTGAGGTAATGCCTCAATCAATATGTGTATACAAAATCCCTCACTGGGAGGCTCTTTTTCCAACATGAAACCATTTATCAGGTCGTTTCCCCTCATTAGCATTTAGAATAAGTAGATGGATAAAATCAATTTCTCAAATTGTATAGACCATCTTTGTGCTAAAGACTCCCCTCAACAACTAACAAATGGTTTGCATTTTCTATTCCCTTAATGAGTTAATTAGGGCCTTTAAACCAGAAGTTACCTGCTTCTTTCTGAAGCTCTCACTTACTGGCTGTGTAACTTTGCTAATGTTACTTTTCTAACCCCTTTGTGCCTTAGTTTCCTCATTTGTAAAACGAGGATAATAGTACCTATAAGATTATTGTGTGGATTACAAGAATTAGTAAATGTAATCTACTTGGAATAGCATACTTGCCACATTATAAGTACTATTCAAGTACAGCTATTATTGTTGTTATTAAGCTGTAGAGATTCAGGTCCAGGGAAATATAACCCTACTCATTACCTTTCTTCCACATCTTCACTAATACGGTTCTGTAACCGCCGCAGCCGGGGGTCACTAGATGAATCCTCCTCCTGTTCCTCAGGCTCTGCTTCTTGTTCTTTAGCTTTCTTAATAAACTGAAATTCTTCATCCTCCTCATCTGAGGACTCCATAGGGGCATAGTCTGGCCTCTTTCCGGACACATAACGTTTTACTTTCACTTTCTCCATCGAAATCTCACCTGGGTGAAAAACATAAACATAACTTACTATGTTTTAGTAACTTCTTTCCCAAGGTCCCTCAACCCTTGGCCTTTGCAGGTAGAGCCCTGCATTCCTGGTAGACAAGAGTCTAAGTAGAAGAAGAAGAGAGCCATTACCCAACCATCTATCCATCTAATAGTGCTTTCCTATAAAGACCAAGTCATAGGAAGGCATTCATTGGGAACGCCAACACTAATGATAATAAAGCCTACCTTGGGTACAGTAAGTGGAGGAAGGTGAGCAGTGAAGCAGAAGGGAAAAGTCCCTCTAACAAAGGCAGACTGCATCCATCACAATTCATGTTATTCCACCTCAACTACAGCCTTAAACAATTTGTAACAGTGCTGAACACATGGTAAGGGTGATGTATTCAGGAACTAAACATTCTAAAACTAAAATGCTGCCCAGGCATTTTTGTAGTCCCCACTGGAATTTCCATGGCAGCCTTTATAACATATTGCCCTATAACTTAATATCCTAATCTTACCTATTCCTACCTTCATTTCCTTTAGCTTATACGCTATCAAATCTGCAAGGATAGTTTTTTACAAATACAAACAACTCTAGTGAAAAAAAAGAAGAAAAACTAACCAACTCATTTTATAAGATGGGTATAACCTTGATAACCAAACCAGACAGTTCAAAGGAAAACTTCAGGTGGATTTCACTTATAAACTTATATACAAAATTACTAAATAACATAATAACAAATTTATTCAAGCAATGTAAAAACTAACCAAAACCAAAAAAACTCCTAAGCCACCATGCTCTAGTTAGCCCAGGACTACAAGGATGGTTTAACCTTAGAAAATTAGGGGAAAAGCAATACACTATTTTTTTAAGAGTCTCATGATTTTATCAATAGATATAGCAAACATTATATTTCATGAAAAACATTAGAAATATTCTCTTTAAGAAACAGTGGGAGGCCGTGCATGGTGGCTCACACCTGTAATCCTAGCACTCTGGGAGGCTGAAGAGGGCGGATCACTCAAGGTCAGGAGTTCGAAACCAGTCTGAGCAAGAGTGAGACCATGTCTCTACTAAAAATAGAAAGAAATTAATTGGCCAACTAAAAATATATAGAAAAAATTAGCCGGGCATGGTGGCGCATGCCTGTAGTCCCAGCTACTTGAGAGGCTGAGGCAGGAGGATTGCTTGAGCCCAGGAGTTTGAGGTTGCTGTGAGCTAGGCTGACACCATGGCACTCTAGCCTGAGCAACACAGTGAGACTCTGTCTCAAAAAAAAAATAGAAACAGTGGGCATTGTGCTCACTTTGGCAGCACATATACTAAAATTGGAATGATACAGAAAAGATTAGCATGGCCCTCTCCCAAGGATGACATGCAAATTCGTGAAGGGTTGCATATTAAAAAAAAAAAAAAAACAGACAGTGGGCATCCTTACGCTGTCCCCACACACCTCCCAGTCAACATTATATTATGGGTTTGATTTGTTTTTTTATTATTTTTTTGAGACAGAGTGTTGCTCTGTTCCCCAGTCTAGAGTGCCATGACATCAGCCTAGCTCACAGCAACCTCAAATTCCTGGGCTCAAGCCATCCTCCTGCCTCAGCCTCTTGAGCAGGTGGGACTACAGGCAGGCACCACCATGTTCGGCTAATTTTCTCTATTTTTAGTTTCCCAGCTAATTTTTTCTATTTTTAGTAGAGATGGGGTCTTGCTCTTGCTCAGGCTGGTCTCAAACCCCTGACCTCAAGTGATTCTCCTGCTTCAGCCTCCCAGAGTGCTAGGATTATAGGTGTAAGCCACCACACCCAGCCTTAAATATAGCAAGGCTTAGAGTTACAATTAATTAAAACAATATGTTATTGACTCAGGGAGTACATAGAGACCAGCAGAACAAAGTAGAGAGTAGAGAAAACAACTTATATGAGTTATATGAGAACTTGAATATATTACGGGAGTGGCATTTAAAAGTCAGTAGAGAATGGATGGGCTAGTTAGTCAACAGAGGAGGGACAACTGGCTAACTATATAGAAAATAGTGCCGGGCGTGGTGGCTCACGCCTGTAATCCTAGCTCTCTGGGAGGCCGAGGCGGGTGGATTGCTTGAGGTCAGGAGTTCAAAACCAGCCTGAGCAAGAGCAAGACCCCGTCTCTACTATAAATAGAAAGAAATTAATTGGCCAACTGATATATATATGTAAAAAATTAGCTGGGCATGGTGGCACATGCCTGTAGTCCCAGCTACTCGGGAGGCTGAGGCAGAAGGATTGCTTGAACTCAGGAGTTGGAGGTTGCTGTGAGCTAGGCTGACGCCAGGACACTCTAGCCCTGGCAACAGAGTGAGACTCTGTCTCAAAAAAAAAAAAAAAGAAAATAGTAAAATTAGACCTCTAGCTTCTGCTGTACAAACAAAAAATTCCAAATTGTTTAAATATCTAAGTGTGGCCAGGTGCAATGGCTCATATTTATAATCTCAGTGCTGGAAGATCTCTTAACCCCAGGAGTTTGAGATTACAGTGAGCTATGATTGCACCACTGCACTCTAGCCTGGGCGACCGAGCAAGACCCTGTCTCTCAAAACAAAAACTCAAGTGTGAAAAACATCTTAAGTATTTATATTCCTTCCCTATTGGACTGTATGCTCCTTAGCTTAGAGTCCGTCTTGTATAATTGTGTATTCAATCCTATTTAGTATGTACAAACACTTAGAAGACAGAAAATCTTTACAATCTGATCTTTACAATGCAATTTCAGTAGGCTAGGAGTGGTGGCTCATGCCTGTAATCCTGCCACTCTGGGAGGCCCGGCTGGCAGCAAGATGGCTCAAGGTCAGGAGTTTGAAACTAGCCTGAGCAAGAGCAAGACCTCCTCATCTCCACTAAAAATAGAAAGAAATTAATTGGCCAACTAACAATATATAGAAAAAAATAGCCAGGCATGGTGGTGCATGCCTGTAGTCCCAGCTACTCGGGAGGCTGAGGCAGAAAGATTGCTTGAACTCAGGAGTTGGAGGTTACTGTGAGCTAGGCTGACGCCAGGACACTCTAGCCCTGGCAACAGAGTGAGACTCTGTTCAAAAAAAAAAAAAAAAAAAAAAGAACTGATATTATTTTCCGACACACTTACTGAAAAAACTCTTTAGTCTGAGGCCCTGAACAGGTATAGTATTCCTTCCTCCATCTACGCCCATTGAAATCCCACCCAACCTTTAAGGATCAAATTAAATGTCACTTTCTTCAGGAAGCTTTACTTGATCATAACAATCTGACGTGATAATCCCATCTCTGTCCTCTCATAGTGCTTGGTTTATATTGCTTATATAACAGGGATCACAAGGGTGAAAGCCTGTACACTGCTTAGAATATGCCTGTTTTTGCATATCTTACATCTACTAGAATATGAATTCCTTAAGATTAGGGGTATTGTCTGACACAACTTTGTATTCAATATAATAAACACAGTCACCGCGTCGGTTGAAAAGGAGAAAAAGTTGAAGACATGGTTTCTGCCTCAACGGGGTTATGAGTTTATAATCTAGTAAAGGGACACAAACAAATAACTACAATAATTGATAAGAGTTATAAAAGCAGCAGAAAAAGACTGCTATGGATAACAAAAGAGGGATTGCACAACGCTCTGCAATAGGCATTTACTACATATAGATCGAAGGAATTTGTAGAGGCTAAAAGGGCTGCTTGCTGTATATGGGAGCAGCCAGGCCACAGGAACAAGATCAGATACAAGTGGGTTCCATCCACTTGGTGGGGATGGGAAAGTCGAAGAATTTGGGGGCTGGGTCTTAAGGCTTGGCGGAGTTGGAGTGGGCGGGGGAGGTTTGGAGGATGCTGGAGTAGGAACAGGTAAGATTTGACTGGAAAAAGAATCAGCACAGTACCTTTCTCATTGCGAACCGGGACGGCCCCAGCCGTAGACTGAATGGGCGGTTGCTTCATGAGTGCGCTTGGGACCGACATGTTGACAGCAGCGGCTGTGATTCCTGAAACTTGACTGATTCCAAACACTGAACACCAACGACGTCAACGAACAGAAAAACTCCTTCCCACCCAGCTCCACAGAACACTACTGCGTGACTGACAGGAACTACGTACGGCTGAGCTAGATAAACCGGAAATATGTGACGAGAGGATTGTGGGATAGTGGAGGACGATTGGGCGACTACGGCTAGAAAGTCGAGTGTGTTAGTGCGCATGTTCATAGACCGCCCTTGCGTCCTCAGTGTCGCAGGATTTGGAAGCCTCTCCTGGCGGGAAATTGCTTCTTTGGGGCTTTGCTGTTAAGGCCCTGCGGCGAGGAAGATCCGAATGAAAGGTTTCACGTTAGCTTGGCTTAAACCGAGGGAGAACGGGACAGTGATAAATAAGAAACTGAGGAGATAGAAGGGTGCTGTTCGTTTAGTTTGCTGTTCGTTTAGCTCAGAAAAATGAGAGTTTGATGGAATAAAAATTGTATTAATGGCACCTGTTTAGCTCAGTTGTTGAGGCCGGAGTGGGCTGTGGTGCGGTATTTGGTGGTCACAAGAGTGCAGCTGGTGGTTATTTAAGCCAGTGACCAAAAAAAAAAAAAAAAAAAAAAAATCCGCCTTCAAACTGATCTCTTGAAGTTTTCTGTAAAAAGACCTGGGACATTACTTGAAATCCCAACATTCCACTCAGGCTTTCAGGGGTTCTGGAAACCGCCTTTTACAATACATTCCCGGCTGTAAAGTTGTTTGTATTTAAGTTATTAGTGTTTATGGTGCTTAGGGCTCTGAAAGGAGTAGGGAATATTGTTAAAAAGCCCGTGTCCTCAAGAAGCTTACATTTTATTAAGGAAGTCTTCATAGACTTCTAGAATCATAAAAGCAGCAGCCCCAATTTACATGCTGGGCTGTGTTAAAAACAAATTGGGAGGCCGAGCCTGGTGGCTCACGCCTGTAATCCTGGCACTCTGGGAGACCGAGGCGGGCGGATTGCTTGAGGTCAGGAGTTCGAAACCAGCCTGAGCAAGAGCGAGACCCCCGTCTCTACTAAAAAAATAGAAATAAGTTAATTGGCCAACTAATATATATAGGGAGGCTGAGGCAGCAGGATTGCCAGAGCCCAGGAGTTGGAGGTTGCTGTGAGCTAGGCTGACACCATGGCACTCACTCTAGCCTGGGCAACAAAGCCAGACTCTGTCTCAAAAAAAAAAAAAAAAAAAAAAAAAAAATGGGTAATTGGAATGTCAGAGCACATTTCACAGTGGAAAGGACTTAATTACTGCTTTGGTGAGGAAGAGAAGGGACAGCATGAGCAAAGTCTTGAAGTCCAGAAATAGTATGATATACATAGGACACTATGAAAAGTTTGGGATTATTTGTAGTTTTTTTTTAGTCAAAGAGTGGTGAAGATTCAGCAGGTACCAGTTCATGGATGGCCTTGAAGGCGCTATTATAATAGTATGATTAACTCTCAAATTATTTCACCTGTTCTAGAATTGGGCCTCAGCTGGGAGAAGAAATGAAATTAGGCAAGTCTCAAGCAAGGAAAAGAGGGGGAACCACTTAACCAAGTAAGCAGTTTTGGGCTAGAAAGAAATTAAAGATAAGAGTAGACAGAATTTTATATTATGAATTTACTAGTTCAAAAATTATGTTGTGCAGAGGGAGTAAATCTGATGGAAAGGCAATTGTTTTGGCCCATGGCAGCCCAGAGAATAGGGGGAAAAAAGTTTAATATGGCTGTGACTATAGAAATACAATGCACTAAAATCTTATTTGTTATTTTGTGATACACAAATTACTGGATTCACAATTTTGTCCTAGGCTTTGGGCATTTTAAGGTCGCGGTTAGGATCCTTAGGTAACAGGTGGGCAGATGGTCAGGTGAAATTTAAACCAGCATAAATTATAAGCTCTTGGAAAAAAAATCAAAATGCTTTCCTACCTAGGAAGAAAGTAATACGGTAGTAATGGGGCATAATTTTATGATGGTGGAGTTATACAAGGAAGCAGTATTCCAGGCAAAGGCTGTATGTTAATTTTGGTTTCCTTTTGCCTCCATTCCTTACGCTTCTAACATTGCAAGACAAGGTGGTTTTTCCTTAGCAGAAGCGCCAGTGTTTTTCAAAGCAAGATCTCAGTACCACCACCATCAAAATCACCGGCTCCAAAGTAAAAAACGCTGATTCGGTCCCACAATATCCCTAAAGAGTGCGAGTCTTAGGCTGAGGCTGTAAGGCGACCTTCTTAAGCCGCGGGCGCTTGGAGCGGGGTTCCGCCTCTCTCACCCTCGGGGCTCCGCCCCTCCCGGCCTCCCGCGGCAATCTTGGCGGGAAGACGCCGGCTGCTAAATAGCAGAAAGATGTCGGGGTCTGGCGCAGCGGTCGAGAAGGCGGAATCCAGACAGCGACTCCAGGTGAAGATGAAAAATGGGTTGACATTTTGCGTGTGCTCCTGCCGCATTTTTTTGTGAGGCATATGCCGGGCACAGGCCCAGGAGGGCACGGGTAACCTGGCACCAGGGATAAGCGGGGATCCCTGCCCTGATTTTCCTCTATGGAAAACTGGGCGTTAGGGATTAAGTAAGATTCTTATCAGTAGCCCTAGAAATAGTTGGCAGGATCAGATCTGGGACTCCCCTTCTCCAGCCCTCTGCGTTTGCTTTTGCGGCTGTTATTGCCAGCGTCATACTCTTTAAACAATTCCAGTAAATCCGAAGCTGAAAGTTGGGGTGGTTTCTTCAGATACAAATGCTAATCATTATTATTGTTGGTCTGTCAAACTCATATGGACAAGAAATGTGCCCAGTAAATGAATAATTCTATTCAAGTTAGTGAATTACATATCTAGATTTTGGAGGGGAAAAAAGTTCCCTTAGGGGCTATGGATTTGGATTTATGTTGTCACTATAACTTGGGAATTCAGTTTGTTTACACAGATCTGCTGGAAACGTAAGAAGAGGCATAGGATCTGGGATTCTAATGCTCTGTTTTTCTTTACCTGAATAGGTGAATGAATATAAAGAAAACCAAAACATCGATTGTATATCTTTGAGACCAGTACAGACTACTCTTTTAGGAAAAACAGCTAAGGTTTATCTTGTCCCTTTTTCACTCAGTAATCTAGACCAATTTAAGTGTTCCAAATCCCTAATAGGAAAGAATTCTAATAATGAAGTGGCCTGTAAAAAGTATAAGACTAAAATAAAAAAAACTTGTGGAAGGATTTTAACTCCAAAGATGAAAGCCACATCTTCCAACGCAGATTCCACTCTGCAAAAATCATCCTTAGATGTTCATACTGAAAGTAACAAGCCACAACACAGCAATTCAGATGCTGTGATTATTGGTGTTGATATGGAAAGCAGTCAGGATGGAGACAGTGATGAAGATACCACACCAGGCTTGGTAAGAATTTAATGAGCAGCTTGTTCTAATTTTCTTACTGTTTTGAAATTTGAAGTTCTGATAAGCTGAGCTCATCAAGGATCTCTCTATTTCAAACAAATTATCATCTAATGTAAGTTTAATTTAAATTTTATTTTTAATGCTTAAGAAATAACTTTCTGGGTTAATTTTGCTCTTTGTTTTGATGTGTCAAAGAGAGGATTGACTTTGCGTCCCCTTTTATTACTCTAAAATTATTGCATATATTTTTAGGTTTACTCGTACTTTATGGTGCCTTACATTGACATGTTATGTGCAGTATACCAAAAGGGACATATGGTATTTGACCTGTGATATCAGGGTAGGAAAACAATCATTAATTGATTGTATTGATATACTAAATAAATTTTCTTTTAAATATAAAAGAAGACAAATGACAGACCAGATACTTGAGAAACACAATAGTTCCTTTTAATAGTTCCAATCAGTTTAAGGAACTAGGTCTCTAATTCTTTTGGCTTCTACTCTCTACCAGGAGTGTTGTGCTCCATTCAAAGTGACAAATTTTATGTAGGACAAGATGAAACTGTACGTACCATATGACAAAAGATTGCTGGAACTAGGGGAACAGAAAATGATGGAAGGGAAAGGGAAACATGATAATTGAAGAGTTATTGTTATGAAATAGGAATTTGATTTATGCTTTATTGTACCAGAGGTAGGAACCAGGGCTGATGGTGGGACAGCATGGGATAAGTATTAAGTGCATTGGATTGGGAGTTGGGAGCCTAGCTTCTTTGGGCACGTGACCAGCCTTTTTTTTTTTTTTTTTCCAACAATGCAAGAGTGCAATGGGCCCATGACCACTTTTAAGAAACCTTGTTCCTAAAAAAAAAAAAAAAGAAAGAAACCTTGTTCCTTTAAGCAAATCACCTACATAGTGAGAGATTTATTAAGATCAGTGGTTCTCAGCTTTAGCCTATATCGGAATTATCTGGAGAGCTTGTTAAAACTCCATTGCAAGGCTCAGCGTGGTGGCTCATGCCTGTAATCCTAGCACTCTTTGGGACACCGAGGCGGACGGATTGCTCGAGGTCAGAAGTTCGAAAACAGCCTGAGCAAGAGCTAGACCCGTCTCTACTATAAATAGAAAGAAATTAATTGGCCAACTAACATATATATAGAAAAATTAGGCATGGTGGGCATGCCTTAGTCCCAGCTACCTGGGACGGCGACTGGAGACAGAAGGATCTTGAGCAGGAGTTATAGGTTCTGCTGCAGAGGAGGACACACAAGGGCAATCACTCTAGCCTGGGCCAACAAAGTGAGACACACTGCAAATAAAAAAACATAGAGAGAAGAGATGGTACTCTCCCCATTATTACAAACCTTATTTTAAGAGACAGAGTCATACAGTCTGTTGACCCAGAAGCACAGAGAGACTGATGAGCACAGGCTTATTTGTAATCCTAGCACTCTGGGAGAGCAGAGCAAGACTCACTCAGGTCAGAAGTTTCGAAAACCATGCCTGAGCAAGAGCAAGACCCATTCTCACTAAAATAGAAAGCAAATTAATTGGCCAACTAAAAATATATAGAAAAAATAGGCTGGGCATGGTGCGCATGCCTGTAATCCAGCGTTACTCGAGAGGCTGAGGCAGGAGGATCGCTTGAGCCAGGAGTTCTGCAGGGTAGCTGTGAGCTCAGCTGACACCATGGCACCTCTAGCGCCGAGCAACAGCAGTTACGACTCTCTCTTCAAAAAAAAATAGAGATGATGAGGTAGTGAGTACATCAACTGGCGATCGGTGCAACGGCAGAGTCTTAGAGGCCTAACACACATTTTCTTTGGACAAACTGTAAGATATAACATTTTTTACAGAACATTTGTTCTTTTATTCTCTTCCCTTTCATTATCTTTTTGGAGTAATATGACTAAAGCTTTGTGGTACCATGCCTGTAGGAACAGTATTTAGTTATAGCTTAATTTCTTCCTGAAATGAAGGGAAGACTTGTCATATCACAGTCAAAAGTCTTAGCCTGCAAGTCAAGATTTTGTTCTATTTTCTAGAAATTTAAAAAAATTTTGCTCTCCTGTGGAGCCTGTGACTTAATTTGACTCAACATGGGAACTGCCCGAGACTGTGGACATGAATTGACAGATTGAGCAGCAAATTAAAAAATATTATGCTCACCACCCTTTTATTAAACACTTTCACTTCAAAAGCATTTCTTAAGCAGTCTAATTGCTTTTAAAATTTGAGGATAATTTGCACGGTTTACAGAAGAGATGCAAAATAGTAGCAGAGAAATTCTTGTATATCTTTTCTCACCCAGATTTCCTTATGTTAATAAGCTTACATAACCATAGCAACATTAATACCAAACTAAGAATACAATGGATGCACATATACTAACATAAGTACAGACAATAAAGAGCATTTATACAAAAACATTACACACTGATGATCATTTTATACTTTCTTTTTCTATTAAGACAGAGTCTCACTTGTTGCCTTGGCTAGTGCTAGGCGATCAGCCTAAGCTCACAGCAACCTCAATAACTCCATGCAGCTCAAAGCCATCCTCGCTAGCCAGACCTACAGAGTAACGAATAGGACAAGACACACCACATCGCCAGAACTAATTTTTTCTATGTTTGGTAGAGTCGATGGGGTCTCGCTCTTGCTCGGCTGGTCTCCAAACTCCTTGAGCTCAAATGATCTGCCTGCCTTGGCCTCCCAGATGTGTTAGATTTAGACGAGAGCACCACACTTTGGCCTGATGTCTTTTTTGCTATTCCATTATCCAATGCCAGGACTGCACAGTGTATTTAACTTGTCATGTCTCTGTAGTCTCTCTGATTATGACAGGTTGCCTCGGTCTTTCATGTCTTGGACCAGTTATTTAGTATATTCCTCTCAATATGGGTTTGTTTGATGATTTCTTATGATTAGATTAGGTTTTGGGGCATCGATTCTGGACG